GTCGTTGAACCGATCTGGGATCTAATATATTCTCATTGGTCAATCTTCAATTACCCCCCCTACTTATATCACCTGATGTCAATTCAAGAAAGCGCAATATTACGTAATATTACAAAAACTATTATACAGTACATTCAACACACTTTCGCCAATAGGCTATCTCTAATTCTAGACAATTTCCGCAAAACCTTTATGTACTTAAAAATTGAATTACGATTTAAAGAAAAAGAATGACGATTTCAAAATTCTTCCATAGTTTTAAATCATTTTTACTAGTATTAATAATTAGTATTTATAGAAAAGTGTCTGATTAATAAAGAACGAAATCATAGTAGAGAGTCGCGAGGAGTAAGTGCGCTAACTATTTTAATCTGGACGATCGCAGTCGTGTGTGGTAGACGCGTATGTGAAAATCATATAAATTAAAATTTGTTGTCGCTGAAGTATTAATATCGACCTTAACGGCGTATTAAACAACTCTTATCATATTCGCTTACAAACCTTTGTCTTATTTATTATAAAATGTCTGTAATCTCGTTTGAATTTATGAGCATTGAGAAATTCGATGCCGTAGTTGAGGAATACCTCAACAACTTAGATCCAAAATTTCGGGAAAAGTCGTTAATTTCGCAAGAGCTTGCGGATATTGCGAAGGAAATATTAACCGTTGATAACGAGCAACATTCCACAAAGTTAAAGGCATGGGTTAGAAAGCACTTTGCGATTATGAGAGTTGGGGAATCAGTTCGCTTAGTCGAAAAAAAAACCAAAAAATTTGTATGTGTAAAAGAGTGTCTGTATAATGTAATTGGAGATTTACATGAAGAATTACGGCACGCGGGCTATATAAAGACTTACACCGCTGTAAGTTGTTTAAAGTTATAACAATCACAGTAACACAATGAACGTACGCTCTCTTAAATGCGAATTTATATTCATTCCCAGATCTGCAAACAATATAGTTGGGTGCCGCGTCCGCTTGTAATGAAGTGTGTTGCTGCATGTAGCACATGTGTAAGCAGGCGACCGTTAAAAACCTCAATGGAGATAAAGCCAATTATTGAGTTGGAATTTTTATCTAGAATGCAGGTATAATTATATGGTTTTTACAACGATTAACCAAAGCAAATACTGATTAGTTCTTTGAAGATTGACCTTATAGACATGAGAGCACGACCAGATGGAGAATATCGTTGGATAGCTCATGCAAGGGACCATTCACCCGATTCTCCTGGACAAGGCCACTAAAGACCAAAGAGGCAAACAATGTCGCCGGCTTTTTATTGGAAATATTCATGATGTTTGGTGCGCCGCGAATATTGCATTCAGATAATGGAAAAGAATTTGTGGCGCAAATAATAAAAGACTTGATAGCTCTTTACCCCAAAACCGTAATAATAAATGGTCGTCCGCGTCATCCACAGTCACAGGGATTAGTAGAAAAGGGGAATGACATATTGGAGACGAAACTTTCGGCCTGGTTGGAAGATAGTAAACGGGATGACTGGAGTTTTGGATTGTCGATGGTTACATGTCAGTATTTCTTTTTCACGTATACTAAACACATAATGTATGGTATCTTACCTATTATACTCAACAATCAAAGGGGCAATGAACACACAAGTGTGTACAGCAACCAAAAAAACGCCCTATGAACTTGTGTTTGGACAAGAACCTCATTCTAATTTTGCTTTGATGAAAGAGTTATATGATCAAGGCATAAGGAATGAGGAAGATATACCAGACAATGTGACTGTACAAAGTAGTGAGAATGTAAGGGAAGGATTAGGAGAGAGTATTGTGTTAAATGATCAAGGCATAAGGAACGAGGAAGATATACCAGACAATGTGACTGTACAAAGTAGTGAGAATGCAAGGGAAGGATTAGGAGAGAGTATTGTGTTAAATGACTCTGCAGCAAGCAATGATGAGGACAATGATGAGAGCAGGACAGATGACATTGATGTAACAGAATCTGAAAGTGCTCCAACGCCATCTTATGTCATGTCCACAAATCATGAAGAATTTCGTAAAGTTGCAACTGAAAATGTAAAAAAAAGTATAGAACGAATGAGAGCAGTTGTTGAAAGCAGAAAACGACAAATAACTTTCTCTGTTGGAGAACTGGTACGGATTAATATTCCTCGAATAGACAGGGCAGGCATTGATAGAAGATCCCTTCCATGCAAAGTTCTGGAGGCACTCGATAATGGTTATTATCGTCTCGGATGTGCTTCTGGGGTTTTAGATAAGTGTTATTTAGCAAGTGAGATGGAAGGTGTAAGTGCGGAGTTCCCAGAACTTGAAAATATTCCTAGTGCTCAAATATCTCTTATGGAGGCTTCTCGTTTACAGAGCTCTGCTGCTTCTGTTAATGCTTTGTGTCATTGCAAGTCTGGTTGCGTTAATAATTGATGTGCATGTAGAAGAGCAGGAGTTGCTTGTAGCTCTCGCTGCCATCTTTCAAGAAATTGTACTAACCATGATGTGTGAATGTCATTAATATTAATAATAAATTGC